GGCAACCAAATGGCTAAGGCGCCTCCTGATTTTTTACTAGGCGCGTGCCTGAGTTTTAAAGAATTACATGTGCGCACATTTTAATTTCTTCAGGACCTTTTCTTGCAATTTGATTGGGGCAGTTTTTACACTTTTTAAACTTCATTTTCACCATTTTATACGATCCCTTCTTCCTCTTTCACTTTCCCTTTTCTTTGACTTTCTTCTTTTTCTCTTCTTCTCCCTTTAATTTTTCTTGTAAATTTGGAGGTAAAAAACTAAGAAAACAAGGAGAACACATTTGGAGAAATAGTTGGGGAAAATCAAGATCAAGCTATCAAGAATCCAAATCCAAAAAAGGTTTTATCTACATTATTGTATTTTCTACAGTATTGTCTCATATTTGCAATGTATTGTATGAAATATTCTCCTTTCATTATTTATATAACATGGGCTAAGTATTTTATGGGATTTATGATTAAAATTAACCTATTTTTAATTAATTTTAATATTTGCATTTTAATATTAAAATGCTTATTTTCATGTGTATTTATTGTAGTGTTGAATGCCTTTCATTTATTTGGCCATTAAGTGATTGAGTTTAGTGATTTGTACATCGTTCGAGAGAAGATTGTACATTTTAGATCAAACAGTATAAACCCTAGGTTTGTGGTGGGGGTAAATATATACCCCTAATCCTAGGTGACCGTTTGAGTTATTTCCACTGAAATAACATAGCTCGACCCAATCAACACCTAGAGGAGGGGTGAACAGGTGTTTATGCGGAATTTTCTTTTTCAATCAATTAATTATTGCAACACATCACAAAAAAATTAATTTGTCTAGATCAGTTCGCATGCTTTACTATCCTGTGTTTGAATACCGGTCATAAATCAATTGCAGAAATATAAATAACACGATTGTTTGATGACGGAGAAACCCCAATGTGGGTAAAACTCCGGGCCCAAGCCAGTAGGAATCCACTATAAACGTAAATGAAACTTACAATCAGCCAGACTCAACCTACACTGGTTTTTCTAACATCCTGACCATAGTTTCCTCAAGCCCTTCTTGGAATGTGTGATCTTGCACCAACTCCAGGCACCTAGCCATCTTGGATTGCGTGCTATACCAATTCCCAAGTCTTGATTTTGTTTATCTCCTGTGGATTCAAGAAAATCGCCTGTTTTCTAATGATCGGGACTCCGATCCTTTCTCGATCTCCAAGAATCAACAAAGGTACTAGAAGATTGTGTTGTGGTGTTTGATGAATGTTGATTTGATCTTTTTCATGTAATTGATCAAATCAAATATAGGGTTGAATGAGAAAGTTAAAGTGTAGGAGAGTTGTCCTCAATTTCAATACCTTCAAAGCACTATCTGAATTCGACGCGGTTTTTTTTCATGTATATCTCTTTTTGGTATTTCTGGTCGGGTTAAAATGTCGAAAAAAGGAAAATAGGGTTTTATGGGTAACACTGTCGCTCGAGCGACAAGCGAGCGACACTGTTTTGCTTGAGCGAAGTGGGGGCGAAAAGCGAGCGACGACCATTCTGTTTTTGTCGCTCGAGCAACCACTTGGCGAGCAGCTAGTGAAACTTCGACGACACATCTTGCCCTACTTCATAGATCGAATCCTAACCCTCATCTTTTACACATGTACACAATGACCCCTAAACTTTAATAATTGATAAATTGACCCCAAAGTTTTGAGCATTTACACTTTTACCCTTTTGTTCATGGAATAGCCAACACAAAATCTAACAAATTCCCCCTTTGGCATTCTGTGACAAAATCAAGTTACAGCAGCAATAACAATCCAATACATAGACTCAACTCACTGTTGCCTTGTCATCTTTCAACCTATCTCCTGAAATCACAACTCACATACCCAGTGTAAAAGCACGAGAAACAGTAACATAAGTACATAAAAGGTAAAGAGTCATGAATAGCCATAACAATGTACGAATATGCTAGATTAAGAGATAATATTAATATCAATGTAAGTCAAACAACCAAAAACATACATCAATAGTGCAAAGCATCAATACATAATCCAGCCATATCATTATAATACATTATCATTATAAATCCCAAAAACACTCCCCCCCTTTTTGTCAGAAATGGCAAGGGGAACTCCAATCAACTAAGAAGGACCATCATCTCCGCCATCCACATCCTCAGAATCCTCAGCATCAGATTCATAATCCCAGTGCTCACGCATCCACCGAATACTGCGCTGAACAAGAGTAATGTCAGCCATCATGCAGGCCTGCTGCTCAATGAGAATCGACATCTGACTCATAAGTGCGACAGTGGGGTCAACAGGAACAGTAGCTGGAGCAGGCTAGTTGGGTGGCAGAATAGAAGTGGAAGAAGAGGGAATATCTGAAGTGGACGAAGGAACCTCGGAAGGAGGCAGAGGAATAGCTGAGAGATCAGCAAGTAAATCACCTAAAGGATCAGCAGGCACTGTCGGGTCAACAGGCTCAGTTGGCTCAGCAGGAGCAAAGGCAAAGGCAGAAGAGGTGACATGTGATCTACTTTGAGATATGGTAGTGTGCCCTATGGGACGAAGCACTCGTCGTGAGACCCCATCGGGAAAGAAAGCCCCAAGTGATGTCACCAAGCGGTGGATTAAGCAAGCATACGGTAGGGAAAAAGCAAAAAGAAACCTCACCTTGTCCATAGGTAGGGAAAAAGTGTGGGAGATGGGCCACAAATTTGTACACACAATACGCAACAAAATTTGCCTATCGGTGGAGAGCGAACCAGTGCGGATCGCCTCAGGCCCCCCCAAGGGCTATTAAACAAGGTGGACCGAACCAGAGAATCGGCCGAAATAGAATCAGCCAAGAGATAGGCATAAACGGGGTGAATGACCTAGGGAACATGTATGGAACTGGAAATAACATCAGGGGAAATCCTAAGGATTTGACACCGGAGGAACACCCAGAAGGACGAACCACTAATGTCATGAATGTTTGCATAGAACTCCTGAACAAGAAGACTAGGCGGGGGATTTAACCCAATCAACAAGGATTCCCAACCCCGAGAAGTAAAGATAGCTGCCACATCAGGTGATAGATCGGATAGAGTAACCTCACGCTCGACTAGGATGGGACGACGAGAAAACTGGCTCCCAAAGACTTCTTGAGCAGTGGAGGAAATGAACCGAGAATGACTAAACGAACACGATCCACTGCCAGGCTGAGCTGTGGTCCTAACCCACTTGGGTGCCATCTGTAGTGCGAGATGTAGAAGATAAGTCAATCCCCAAGGAAAACGAAGTGAAGGAGACACATAACTAGACAAGCCCTAAAAGGCAATCACACACAAGCCCGTGGACTATGAGCAACACGGATGGGACGTGAACTAGACATAAACAAGATCAAGATGAAATTGTGACACACATAAAAACTTCCAATAGAAATGGAGAGTTGACGAGTCCTATGTCAAACAATTCTCCAAACGTATTACAGGCAAATCGACCAACCAGTGTCGAGTTGAGAGAAAAAAAACGAGAGAGAAAGGGAAGAAATGAAAAAAAAAAAGAGGCGAAAGGGCGCGAGAAAATAAAAGGTCTCGATGTTGCTCGAGCGAGACTCGAGCGAACAGCGAGCGACAAAGACACTGCTTCTGTCGTTTGAGCGAGATCCCAGCGACAAGCAATCGACAGGGAAATGACAAAAATAGCACCTAAACTTGAAAAGTTGAAAAGTTAGGCCCAGGTTTAAAATTTAGCAAAGTAACAACCTTTAGAAACTTTCAAAAATAGGACCTTTTTCAGAAATTTGAATTTAGACCCCAATTTTTTTTTTAAATTTAAAATGCACGAACAATGCAGAGGCAATTGGTCCAATCAAAGGCAATAGATAACAAATACGGCACGCACAGTGATTAGAAAATGGTTACCCACACACTGGAACCAAGTACAGATGGAGTAAATTGTATATGTGACCCCTCGTGAAACGTGCCACTCATTCCAAGAAAGTAAGACTCAAACCTTAAATTTGTGAGAAGAGACAACCAAATCACTGACGTAGGAGTCAACACTTAGATGTGTGAAGGTCAAATCCAATGCCACTATGACCTATACTTCATTAAAATATGGTGTAAAACTGTTCTTTCTTCCCCTGTTGTTAAGGACCTAAAAAAAAATTTTAAATTTTACGTGCAATCCCATCTCCATTAAGCTACTAAGAAGACCCCTGTAATGAGCGTTGGGTTGGCGACTCCCAAACCAGTTGGCTTTAGGGCACCAGGTTATGAGAAACCCCTTAGACTTAATTGCTCGAGTCATTTAGGCTCCGAAGATATGTATAAGATGTGATATAATAAATACTCTGTGGAAACCCACGGGGGTACACCAGAAGTTAGGTCATTTAGTCCAAGATCAATTCAAACCCAATGTCTACTCAACGACAGATGATAGCCATCCCAAGTCTCACACATGCGGTCAAAACTCACTCATACGGTCCTAGTGTGTGTTGTGCAAATATAATATGAAGTGACATATACTAAGTACTCCATACAGACTCAGGATAAGTGACGGGAATTACAAACTAATCATGTGTAGAATGCACATTTGATTTCAAATTGCAACTCCGAGGGAACAACTACAAAGCAAAAATGACATGTGATGATCAATCTCCCTTTTTTCTAAATGCAAATGAACACACAGAGGTAACGTAATGAATGAAAAGAAATGCATGCATCTATGAAGACGATCAGGGAGGAACAAAGATGCCAATAGCCTTCCTAAGTGACTCGAATCTAAACCCATCTAGAGGTTTAGTGAACAGATCGGCAAGTTGATTTTCAGTAGAGATGGGTTCAAGAGAAATCACATTAGACTCAACTAGTTCACGAATAAAGTGATGATGAATGTCAATGTGTTTGGTCCTAGAATGCTGAACCGGATTTTTTGATATGTTGATAGCACTAGTATTGTCACAGAAAACAGTTAGAGTACCCTGATTTATCCCATAGTCACTCAGCATTTGCTTCATCCAAAGCAGTCAAGTGCAACAGCTACCAGCTGAAATGCATTCTGCCTCGGCTGTGGACAAGGAGACTGAGTTTTGTTTCTTACTCATCCAGGAGACAAGATTAGAACCAACATAGAAACATCCACCCGAGGTACTTTTTCTATCGTCGGCGTTTCCAGCCCAATCGACATCAAAATAGCCGGCTAGTTCTAGATTGGACTCTTTGGAATACAAGATCCCATGATCTACTGTCCCATTGACATATCTAATAATGCGCCTCACTGCACTTAGATGGGACTACTTAGGATCAGTTTGAAATCTAGCACATACACCAACACTAAACGCTATGTCAAGTCTACTGACAGTATGATATAGTAAACTGCCTATCATACTCCTATACACAGTCTGATCAACACTCTTACTTGTAGGATCATGTCCTAACTTAACATTTGTGCTCATGGGTGTCCTTGTGTGTTTCTTACTGTCCAAACTAAATCTCTTCACAAGGTCTTTGGCATATTTTGATTGAGAGATAAACAACCCACAATTAGTTTGCTTTACTTGAAGACCAAGGAAGTAACTTAGCTCCCCAACCATACTCATTTCAAATTCTTGTTTCATGCATTCAGCAAATTCAAGAGAAATGGAATCAATGGGAGAGCCAAAGGTGATGTCATCGACATATATCTAAGCTACAGTGATAGTTTTTTCAATATGTCTAATGAATAAGGTTCTGTCAGCACCACCACGTGAGAACCCATGCTCAATGAGGTAAGTAGTGAGTCTATCATACCAAGCTCTAGGAGCTTGTTTTGGACCATACAGTGCTTTATTTAGTTTGTAGACATAATGAGGAAACTTAGGGTCAATAAATCCTTTCAACTGTTTAACGTACGCCTCTTCTTGGAGTATTCCATTCAAGAATGCACTTATGACATCCATTTGATATAGCTTGAACCCTAAGGTACATGCAACAGCAAGAAGAATACGAATGGACTCAAGATGAGCAACTGGGGCAAAAGTCTCATCAAAATCTACCCCTTCCACCTGAGTGTACCCCTGGGCGACTGTCTAGCCTTATTCCTAGTTATAGTACCTTGGTCATCGGTTTTCTTCTTGAAAATCCACTTTGTACCTATCACATTAGAATCATTAGGCCTAGGAACTAGATTCCAAACATTATTTCGAACGAATTGATTAAGCTCCTCATGCATGTCATTCACCCAGCATTCATCTCTAAGGGCTTCCTCTACTTTTTCAGGTTCAATCTAGGATACATAGCTAGTATATGTTAGGTTATTTAGAACTCTCCTTCGTAACCTCACTCCTTCATCCAAAGCCCTAATGATGTTAACCTTAGGATGATTAGATTTGACCCTTGAAGATGGTTCTCTAGAAAGCTTAGACTGATCCCAATTTGGTAGACCTTGCTCAGATATGTTTTCTGAGGATTGTGGAGATTTTAGGATTGAGTGTTCTTTATTTTCAGTAGTGGCTCCTTGATCTTCACTTAGATCTTCTATGTCAACCCCATTTTCAGCACTTTCTCCCTCAGTGAAGGCATCATCAATAACAACATTTACAGATTCCAAGACATTTTGAGTACGCAAGTTGCAAACTCGGTATGCTCTATTGTTCTTAGAATATCCTAGAAAAATCCCATCATCACTTTTGGAATCAAACTTGCCTAGATGTTCTCTATCCCTCAGGATGTAACATTTGCTGCCAAACACCCGAAAGTATTTAACAGTAGGCTTCTTGCCTTTCCAAATCTCATAGGGAGTCTTTTCTGATTTCGGTCTCAAGTATACCTTATTTATTATCTGGCACAAGGTGTTAATTGCTTCACCCCAGAAATACATTGCTAGATCCTTACCGTGAAGCATGGCCCTAGCCATTTCTTGAAGCACTCTATTCTTCTTCTCAACAACTCCATTTTGCTGTGGCGTGATTGGTTAGGAGAACTCATGCTTAATCCCCTCCTCCAAGTAGAAGTTTTCTAGATTGAAGTTTTCAAATTCTTTTCCATGATCACTTCAAACCCTAGAAATAGGAAGATTTTGTTCAACTTTGAGTCTTTTGCATAAGGACTTAACCAGATCAGCCGTCTCAGATTTTTCTCTTAACAGATCAATCCAGGTGAATCTAGAAAAATCATCTACCACAACCAGGATATACCGTTTGCCTCCTAGGCTCTCTACCCTAGATGGTTCCATTAAATCCATATGGAAAAGCTCTAGGGGTCTATTCGTCAAGATTTTCGAGGTTCACTTATGGTTTATCCTGAATTGCTTTCCTTGTTGACACGGCTTGCACACAGCATTCTCACTTTGATCAATCTTAGGTAAACCATCGACAATCTTCTTTCGGACCAATTTAGATAGATTTCTGTAGTTAACATGATCGAGTCTTTGATGCCAAAGTTCAAACATATCAATTTTAGCACTACTGCATACATAGTTCGAGTTTGGAAGAACTTCATAACAATTATCAGATGCTCTAATACCTTCAAGAACAACACCACCAGAAGCATCATAAATAGTGCATCTCTTTTGGATAAAACTCACTTCATAGTCAGCATCACAGATTTGACTAATGCTCAATAAGTTGAACTTAAGGCCCTTTACATAAAGTACATTGGATATTGTATGAAGTCCAGCAATGGTGATGGAGCCTTTACCTCGGATGGGTGCCATAGCTCCATCCCCAAAAGTAACTACACCGCCGTTACAGTCGTCAAAGGTAGAGAATAAGGCCTTATTACCACATATGTGTCTAGAACAAGCACTATCAAGATACCACATGCATGTATTTTGTGCCTTATATGCAACATGAGCAACAAAACATTTTAGATTCTCAATATACTCACCCACATCAGATTTCTTTACCCAAATTTTTCTCGAGGTCGAGATGATCCTACTCAACCTTGTTACCATCTCAGTTAAGTGGCTAACCTGATTTGAAAGTAAGTTCACTTGACTAGGGATATCCTGATTTCGATTCCTATTTGCTAGCTTTCGACACCTAGGTCTCGTGTGGCCTAAGGCACCACAGTGATGACAAGTGGGTATGAATCTAGGTTCAAATGTACGTGAGTGTTGATTATGAAAATTAGGTGTAGAGATCTTATGAGCTCTAGTGGCCTTTAGTCCATTAAAATTTTTGACTTTGGATTCTGGATTTGTTGAAACGTTAGATCTGTTGGAAGCATGGACAAATGTGGTCTTTGATAAACTAGACATATTACTATCACTCTTTACAAATCCTAGACCTTGCCTATTTCCAGCTGGTTTTTTCATTCCTAACAAATCGTCTAGTTTCTTAATTCCATTCACAAATGATTGCAGTTGAGTGTTGGATCTCTCTAATTCATAGGTCAATGTCTTGACCCTGCCCTCTAATCTCTCATTGACATACTTCAACTCACTTAGATTCTTAGATGAGATTTGAAGGTCATAGGTGATTTTCTCCTTCTCTCTCTCAAGCTTGTCTACCTTCTTAAAAAGGGCTTTATTTACCTTTTTGATCTTGAGACTCTCCTTAAACAGGAGTTGATAAGTCTCATGTATATCCGTCTCATCCTCCGAATCATCACCGAACTTGTTACTCTCCACTTCCTCCTCAACCTTCTCACTCTCCTTGTCTAACTCGCTCTTGACAGTAGATACAAAAGCCATATAGCCCTTTTCCTCCTCACTGCTTGAGGAATCACTTTGTTCACTTAAATTAGAATCATCATCAGTCAAGGACACAGTTAATGCCTTCCTATTCCCTTTCTTTAGATTTTTCTTAAAGTTAGGACATTCATTTCTATAGTGCCCAAATTCCTGACACTCATGACACCTAACCCCTTGAGATTTTTGTAATACTTTAAACAAAAAAAGAAAAGAAAAGTCAAACTTCAAAAAAAAAATTACAAAAGATAAAAACCAAAATGAAAGGCGGCTATCAAACCAACCCATTTCCAATGTGTGTGTGTGTGTGTGTACGTATATATATACATATATATAATCCAAACCTTTAACATACGCTTTAGACACACCAAAACAAAAAAGGGACCAGAGAAGAAAAAGAGAAAGGAAAAAGAGGGGAAAAAAAGAAAAAGAGGAAGAAAAAGAAAAAAAAAGGGAAAAATTCGCCAACGTGTTAGGAATTAAGTGCTCTATCCTATTAGGCTTGAATTCCTCAATTTTGAAAGATAAGTAAAAAGTTACTTATTGAAAGGTTATATTTGATTTTATAGTTGTTAGATTGTTAGATTAAATTTAATTTTATTGAAGGGATTAAGTATAATAAACTATGAAATTGAGTAAAGTGAAAGAAAAATTAATTTTAGTAGTTAAAGAGACTCTAGAAATCGCCTAAACGTGAAATAATTATGTTTAGGTATCGCCTATTTAATTATTGAAATTACTTAAATTAGTTAATTGTTGATTTAAAAATTATATTATATTCACACGATGATACGGATATTGGGACAGCGTACCAATCGAATTGATTTTGACGTACATAGTTCTGTGAGCGAAAAAATATAAATATTTTTAAAGTATTTATAAATTAAGTATATTGTTAAAGTATGTGCAATTATATACAATTATGTGTTCGAACTAAATGGTTATTATGGAAATCTCTCTTATTATGATACATGTGGAATATCAAATATTATTTATGACATATTTGTGACTTGGTATATAAGACATGTGATATTGAGTTTTGTTTGGTATGTGAGACCTACAATATTGAAATCGGTCAGAAAAGTACCTATGATTATATACTTCTTCTAGTTCACAGAGGGGCCTTGGCCGTGTTCTATCCTACACGGAGGGTCTTGACCTGACATTGGTCTTGATCGTGTACATATAATTCATAGAGGGGCCTTGACCGTGTTCTAGAATTGATTATGAGAGGTATTCGAGACCGGCTTTCGTTCACGGAGGGGGCCAAAGGCCTGTGGCGAAAATTCTTAGCCCGAGAGGTGGATTACATATTTCAATCAGATGGTAAATTTTTGGTAAATTTTTCAGCACATTTGATGTGATGAGATTATAGCATGATTTTCAGCTAATGTTATATCATAATTTTAAGATGAAATTGTATGACCTTTTGTGAATATTTCATTTTTTTTACTATAATTACATGATGGTAGCCTGTGAATTATCAAATGATATGAATTTGATTTTCAATGAAAATTTATAAATGAAAAAGTATATTTATTTTGAACTTCTCCACTCACTGAGCTATCAACTCATATATTTTTCCACATTTTTCTTTATCAGGCAGCAGTTGAGAATTTGGGCATCTTTGGAGTTGAGACTTGATTTTGGAGTTAGAGCCACACGACAGAGTTTGTTAGTATGACTCACTTCATAGAACATGTAATCAGTATTTTGGGACGCACGTTCATGTCTAGATGTGATTTTACATCACTTGTAGATAGTTATGGGGCTCATTATGTAATATGTATCCATATGTATATTTCATTGTATTTCTTGGGTAAAAGTGAAGATTTCGACTTATCTTTATTGTGCTATGCTATAGTTTGGGATTTGTGTGAAATTGATCACAGGTTGGTTAGTCTTGTTTACAGGGGAGATAATGCCGAAATTTTGTTAGAAAAATGA